CATGGGACAAATAATCATAATAAATTTAAATCAAACTCTTCTGTTCGTTTGCTTCTGAGCAAGAATAATTTATTACTCTCTTTCATGAAGTTTTTCTGCAATGCATGAATATACATGAAATATTTTCTTGAGAAAAATGAAAGCATTTTTCTGAAATTTTAACGTCTTTCGGGCTGGTGGCACATCTGAGGGATTGCTATGCGGGGCTGTATGTTCTGAATCTCGTGTGTTGAGAATCGCTGTGTTTAAATTGATTTCGATTTTCAAAAATTACGATTTGGATTTCTTTAAATTTAAGAACACAGAATTGGTTTAGAATGGTTTCGATAACTAGTGTGAAATTTTCACTTTAAGTTGAATGTATTCTAGCGAAATAAGATCGATTGTTATGATAAAGATATAATCAAATTTAAAACATTGAGGAACAATGTAAACAATTTGCATAGATTAAATGTACCAATGCGTCTTTATAGTCTTGAATTGCTTGCTTCCTTTAATTCAATCAAGAAATTAGCGCGTAATTAATTCCACCCTCAAGCAATTAGTGCGTAATTGCTTCAATAATTTCGAGATATTAAGTGCTCGGTAAGATCACAAGAGCGTCAATTTCGGTCGCATGGCAAGGTCTTCAAAGCAACGAACGAAGCACCACAATCACGGCCTTCTGAGGAGCAGCGTTGGTAGATCTTTGAGTTATAAGCTGAGATTTCGCTTGAGCGAGTTTAAGTTCATACCTCATTAAAAATTATTTCTGAATGTTCTATGTACTTATTATGGTGGATGATTGGTGGAAAATAAAATGTCTTCGTTTTATGTGGTGAAATTTCTAAGTCTTTAATTATTCGCCAGAAATTAGGCTCTGAAAAATGTATCAATTATTTTGTGGGTTAGTAAAAAAATACATCGAATTTTAGCATTTCCCTCAGTTAAAATACACTTCAGTCCAAGTGAATGGAATTCTAAAAATAGCGAGAATTTCATTTCAGATCCTTGCTTAGTTTGAATTAATATCAAGCTCATCGTGATTGGAGCAGTGAGTCGTTGGTTCGAGCCCGATCAAGCCTCAAAATTATTCTGCACTCTCGCTTGTGGGCGACGTTTGCTGCGTGGCCGTGGACGACGTATCCTTAACTAATTCCTAAATCTCGGAATGAACACATTCTACCATGAAACTAATTAAAGTTAACTATTCATTAAAATCGAACGCATTACTCATAATTTGACTGGTAAAGTTTTGCATGTTCAAACGAAAGAAGCTTTGCGTCTCACCGGCGCAATTACTCGCAGCGTCTCAACTTGCTCCAAATTTAGTTCCTAACTTTTTAATGTGTCGGGAAACCTCGTAATTCCTTATTAACTCCGATACAAGGGCTTCATTCTCAAATATTATTCGAGAAATCTTAGTTACTGCCTGGCCGTAAATTCAGGTTAAGCTTTTGTGTCTAAAAGTTCAGTCTGAATTGGAACGAGAATAGCCTCTTGAACATTTGGAATTATGTGATAAAGTTAGGCTGCAAGTTTAGGCGCATTTGCTTGAATACATTCCAGGATATTTGAATGCATTAGACAAACTAATTAGTTACTATGCGCCTTGCGTTTTCCTTACTAAATTATTATATCTGATTAAATGATGTTTTGATTATCACTTGGTGAGGGCTCCAATAAATTGAATATATATCACAGATGAAAATGCAATATTTAATTCTGCTATCATATGAAATTAGACTTGAAAATCGAGCTTAAACGTCGTTAATTTGTACTCAAGATTACTGCATGGCACAAGTCGTCCATAGATGATAATCAATTCATGTGTGTGACGAACTAGTCTTAAATTCCGAATAGCCAATTGCGTCACCTCAAAAGTTCGGATGGTCTTAATTGCCACGTCCACCAGTGACCGGAAATTAAATGCAACTTCCCTATTGGTTTGATTGGCATGAGCTTGGACTGAACGGATAGATAACCCAAACAAGAAGCTTAATTCAATGTATTAATAATAAACAGCAAATTGAATCAAAACAAATCAAAACTAACGATTTTACAGAGATGCGACATAATTCCTAAGCGAATTAACAAATGGAATTCGGACAGAGCTAAAATGCGCGGAGAGCAAAAGGCGAGGAGAGAGCTAATGCATGGAGGTCTGAGAATAACGCACGATCCTACAACAGAAAAACCAAAGTAAATACCTACACATGACAAATTATAATCACACATATCACGATATTTCACCAAGTAATCAAATTAAAATTCCACCACTATCGCACGCAACTCACCCTGGCGTCTGAGTCAAAATCCACAAGAAAGGAACCAGTGTCAGTTTGTAAGTCGGGATCGGCATCGTATCTGACAGCTGTAACCAATTCAACGTCCACATCAGAGCCGGTCCTGCTTAATATTTGCGGTCTGACAGATAGTAGTGGGAAATTTGCAACAACACTTCATTGCAATGTAAAAGTTGATATATAAAAGAAAAATCTTGAATGATTATATATAATAATATATTTCAGCAGTGTAGCACGATGGTGAAGTTAATCGAGAAAATACATACATTCTAAGTTTAACTAAATTTTTATATTCACAAGATTAGAAGGAGTAGCATGAAGAGAAAGTTTCATGCTACTCACCAGAGACGAAGGTAATTCATTCTCGTTGAATTAGCATTAAGTTACGCATGAATTTCTCAGCACCCGCTCCCGTTGCATTTAAGATTCAATAGAAAAATTTACCTAAAATTAATTTGTAGTTCAGCTGGAATGCTGAAAGAACAAACCTAATGTAATTTTTAAATGAATTTAGCGCAATTTCGATTAAATCTTACTTTACATCATTCATAGTAACATTCACTTTACCATTAAGGCGTTCCTTGAAATTTGTCAGCGTTGCTTTCCTAATTTTAGAGCTTCCCTCACCGAGCCACGCGTTGCCGAAATCTCGAGTTCTTACTTTCATTTTTCACCGTTGCGCCGCACTGGCAAGTTTGGCAATTTCTGTCTGGACGGAAGCTTAAATTAGCCACTGGCTCAAGTCATTTGTTAACTGCGCGTTCTTGCGAACATTTGAGCTGGCGTTTGGGGTTTGGTTTTGTTAGCTCCATAGCTAGGTTAGAATAAGTTGAGAAACGAGTTGAGTTATTATTAAAAAAATAATAAAATTCTATTAAAATCCTACTGATTATCAAACAGATCTTATCTAAACGGTCCCAATTATCTTCACTTTTTAGTTGTCTCAGTTGTCAATAACTAGTGGGTGCTTCCATCAGTAGCTGGTAGCATAGCGATATTTATTGTTCATCATTAATTTATATGAGTTACAGTAAATGTAAATCCGCTTGTTTCCGTTCCATTGTTCTCTGCCCACAATCACCCGTGATTTCACAAGCAAAGATGGCAGTTAGGCCGCCTAGAATTTTGAAATATGTTAGCGAATGTTTCGAGAAGTTCCGAGATTAGTGTATTAATATTACGGTGCTATAGGATGCATGCAATGAGAGTGAGACTCATCTTCTTGCATGGCAACAAGCTCCTTATTACAATTTATCTGTGAGTAAGATGCGGCCAAATTTCGGCTGCTGAATTTACAGTTTATTTTCATGTGCGAAAAATGAAAGTCTATGCGGTTGAGGCTCGTGATCCTCAGGCTAAATTACATAAACGAGGCCTGAAATGCCTCAATTGTAACGCAGCAATAAGCGCAGGTGCTCTGAGCCTTGGATGATGTGATGTAAGATCGACCGCAAGACACTTAAGATGATGTATCTCGGTGCACTCAAGTTAGTTGAGTTTCTTTCACCTTTCTTTATTATTCACTTGGGCTTGAAATAAAGTATGTTGGCTGCATCGTATTTCTTACGCAGTGGTGATTGTGGTCTGAACTTTTTCTAAGGAACAAATCGAAAAGTTTGCGCGAGTTTCTACCAGACAGCCCAGTGGAAAACTCTAGAGGGACCAATCAAGAGAGCTCTTGTTTGGCTGCCGTTCTCAACAACACGCAAGAATTTCGAAAAGAGGCGAAGGCTTCAGAAAATTCAGGCCTGTGTTAGCATGGAACTTTCAAGAGCAGCCTACAGTGATCAATCAAAACGTACCACACCGGCAAAATTATCATTATTAACTTATAATCGAAAATTAATAGGAAAAGTTAACTGAAATTAAGAAGAAAAATGTTAGAAAAAATAGAAACGTTGAGAAATTATTTTTGTTTTTGGAATATTTTATTTATTAAAAGTGGAATACAATTTAGTAGATAATGAATGCCTATTTGGAAATTCTCTCCCAGGAAATAATTGAAACGCGTTTTCGTGAATGCAAAACGGTTTCTTAAAACGAAATCCATGTACAAAAAAAAGACAAAATTAGCCAGTAATTATTGTTATATCAGATCTCTCTATGCAATCTCTATACGAGGCTTTTCATCGGTATATTCTAGGGGTATTATCATTGCTTTTTTAATCTTAGTCGAAGTTTATCTGCTTATGGGCATTCACTTGGATGTCTCTATTATTTTATAAATGTTTTTCTTTTTTTCTTTTGAATAGTAACTAGAGCTCCTTTGTGAATAAAAATCAATCAATCAATCAATCAATCAATCCAGTCTCTTGATCACGAAACGCCGTCTCCAACCCATTATCTCACGTCCAAATTTACTTTTTCAGAAAGTCCCAATTTTTCTCAATTTAGAATCTATTAATTATTTCATTAACACAATTAGTGGCCGCTCATAAGCCTTCTACCATTGACCAGAAATTCGACCCAAACTCTTGTTACATACTCTTACATACATACTTGGGTCGAATTTCTTTGTTACATACTCTTGTTAAATTCGACCCAAACTGTTACTTAAAATTAACCTTCAGGATCTAGAAACTCGACCCTCTTGTTTATTACAATGGGAGGAGACCAGATGCTTTGTTCAGGCGTTACGATGCTCTCATTCGTGTTGAAATGTTTCTGTCAACCATATTTATAGATACTTTGATGATGAAAGTTTGTCCATTTCAGTGCCATCAACCCTATCCTGTACAACGCGCTGTCAGTCAAGTTCCGACGAGCCTTCAAGAAAATGTTGTGCTGCGGTGAGTCCAACGATGTTGTTTGTTTATTGCATGGCAATGTTTTATATATTTTGAGGCATTGGCCGTCACCATCTGCAATTGAATTTTTCATGTTTTATTTCAATCTAATATAGTTCATGAACAGTAAATTTAGAATATTATTATCATTTTTATTCTAAGTTGCATAGAAACTAAGCATAGTTTTGGCCACTTGTATTAAACATGATATGATTATTTGGAAGAAATATGACTTGACAAGCAAAGTAAGATACAAAGCATGTAGAATACGGGATAGTATCACCGAATATGGGATAGTATCGTCGCTGTTGTTTGACTATGTTGCAGTGTTCGAGTTATTCATGTTATATCGTCCATAGTTCATACAGTAAACACGTCCGCGTAGCAGAATACAGGACCGTCACAGTGCAGGTCGACACAGGATGCGTTCTTCATTGAACTTATACACAGTCATGCCGACATCCCTCATTTAATTCAGGCCTACAACATCGTTCCTGTATAAAATCATAACAGTGATCCCGCTCATACACAGCCTACAGCATAATGCCTGATTTACATCGATTGTTTAAAGCAATTTTTATTTCATTTCTTTTACTATCGATAAACAATGTTAATGGAATTTACGAAATATCACAGCATCGTATTGATCATCCCTTAAAATTACAAGCGTAAAATGTTACATCTACCACGAACCGAGTGAGAGATGTCTCAAAATTTCCGTAAGAAATTTCATCTCCTTCCTAAATTTTCTGAACTTTTTTTTGACATCCTTCAACTTGCTACAAGTATTATAAATGAAAAAATTGTCATATCCTTTCTTATATTTATTACATATCATACGTCGATTTATTAGCATTGTATACCTGGCGCTGTAGAATGCAGCGTCGTGCGCCTGCGCAATACAGCGGCGTGTGCAGGCGCTTAATTAAGGCGGTCTGGTCGAGTGTATTTGTTGGCAATGAGTTTGTAGCAACTAGATGAACCGGAAGTTGGAGGCTGGTTAAGTTAAGGTGCAATTGCAATAATTAATTGTCAACAAGATATAATGATCTATGACTTGACTATGTATATTCGAATCGAAGTTATGTAAGACAAGAGATTTAGATTCAGAAAACGTCTAAATATTAAAGTAAGGAAAGGCTTATTAATGTTAAAACTTTATGTTGCAGTAGAAATGGAAATGTTTTGTGTGCAAATTATGTTCATGCACCGGGCTTAAAACCGATAATTCCAATGGTAGTGCATGTCAATGCTGAACAACGCGAAATCCTAGAAAGAAATCCTGCATATATAATCCTATAATCCTATGATAATAGCTATCGTAATATCATAACCGTCCGTTTGTAATCAGAATAATATACGTTAAAAATTACTTTTTAAAGACAACACTTCCAAAGAATCCAGTATCTCCAATCAATGAATTTCTCATCTAATTTTCAAAAATTAAAAAAATGTATTTTTCAATTTTTTTAATATATATATAAATTTCTCTATTATATAAATTTTTTTGTCAAAATTATTTATTCTGTTAATTGATTTATGCATTGCCTCTGACTTCACACAAGTGTGCGAAATTTCAGATCAATTAGACAGGTAAAAGTGTGTCAAATATCAGTTATAAGATTTGTAGCTGACAAAATTATTTTTTAAAATTTTTTAATATTGCAAAATTTTTTTTTTAATTTTTAAAATCACTTATTTTGACATTTGATTCATGAATTGTCTTCAACTTTAAACAAGTGTGCAAAATTTCAGATCGATAGGATAAGTAGAAGTGTGTTAAATTTCGGTTACAAGATTTGTAGCAGACAGACAAACAAGCAAACAAACAGACAAGAAGTGAAGTTGAAGAGAAGTGTTGTAATAAGGTAATGGCAAGCTAATTTTTGCGCAGGGCTACGTTAAAAATTCATAACTAATAAGGGATTGAATTTCAAAATTTAATACTAATGTTACTCAAACAAAGCAAATGGCTAAGTAACGTTGTCAATTTTTTTTATTACAACACTTCTCTTTAACTTCACTTCTTGTTTGTTTGTTTGTCTGTCTGTCTGTCTGTCTGCTACAAATTTTGTAATCAAAATTTAACACACTTCTACTTATCCTATCGATCTGAAATTTTGCACACTTGTGTAAAGTTGGAGACAATGCATGAATCAAATGTCAAAATAAATAATTTTAAAAATTAAAAAAATGTTTTTTTCAATATTTAAAGAATTGAAAAAAATAATTTTTGTCAGCTACAAATCTTATAACTGATATTTGACACACTTATACCTGTCTAATTGATCTGAAATTTTGCACACTTGTGCGAAGTCAGAGGTAATGCATGAATAAATTAATAGAATAAATAATTTTGAAAAAAATTAATATATTAAAAAAATTTATATATGAAAAAATTGAAAAATAATTTTCTTAATATTCAAAAATTAAATGAGAAATTCATTGTACATCTGTAAGATTGGAGACACTGGATTCTTTGGAAGTGTTGTATGCATTGTATGTATTCATTGTATGCAGCAAATTATTGTATTATTCATATTATTTTGATTATTATTGTCGAATTTTCATTGTTTGATCGGATTATTGAATTAAGTTATAAGGAAATTCAATAAATCATTGCATGGCAAATATAAATCGTGGCTCTCAGTGATGTTGTAGTATGATTATATTGTTGGGGATAAAGCTACTTAAAACATTAACATGAAGAACGGGTTAACAGCAAGAAATGATGTATAAGACTAATTCCTCAGTGAGTAATTACTCACAGAGTAATTAGACGATAAACAAGGCTTTTGTATGAATTTCTATCTCAAGTGCCTCATTGACAAAGAAACAGTTCGATTTAGATGTTAATGAACATTTATATTTTTCGGATCAGAAATAAACGGGTAATTTCCATCATAAAATCGAACTTTTTAATTAATCGTAACAGAACTAAATCATAATTCTACCGCTCTAGAATCAAAACTCTGCACGATCTGCCGGCAGAATTGCCAAGTAAGACTGAGCTGAATTTCTGCTGCGAGTTGCGCGTAGTTTTCAGTCGAGCGCACGACGACTTTACCTGCACTTTGTTACGATGCATAGCAGGAGGAAATTTGTTAAATTACTTCTAAGAAGCATTTCTCTAATATGGCATTCGCAGCGCTTCTATTTGTCCATCCTAGGAAGTCTCCTTCAGTGATCGTGTTGCATTGACAATCACTCAACGATGCAAATATTGTCCTTCTGGCAATCGAGCAGGTTTTGGCATTATGGTCTAGTCACTGAATCCCATATTTCTCTCAATAATCAATCAAATTAAGCCACAACATTCGATTCACATCTCTTCCAAAATAATGCTATTAATATGGTCATTGAGCTGAATTACTTCGATAAACGTTGCATTGGTCAAAATAATTAATCAAGCCGAAAACGTGGATCTACTATTCACCTAAAAGGGGAACAACTTTTTTAAATTTGTTTGCAACTACTGAATCTGCTCGACAGCCTCGTGTTCACCGAAACTGCTGAAACGGTCGTACAATCGCTGAATCTGCTCGACAGCTTTATGATTGTTGAATTTGCTCGAAAGCTTTATGATTGTTGAATCTGCTCGACAGCTTCGTAACCGCTGAATCTCCTCGGTAACTATACGACTGCTGAATCTGCTCGACAGTCTCATGATAGATGAATTTGATTGTAAGTTTATGATCGCTGAATCTGCTGGGCAGTCTCATGTTTGATGAATCTTTTCTAACGTCTTTTGGTACTTGAATCTGCTCGACAGTCATTTGATCAACGAATCTCCCAATTTGAATCGGTCCAGTTTTATGGTGCAATAGTCCAATCGAAATCATACCCAATTGCTGGTTCAGCGTGACCGTTTAAAGACGCTTACGTTATCGTCAGCACGAAGATCATACAAAGAAAATCATCAGATGGTCACAAACGACCCGCTGGCACAGCAACGGAAACTTTCTTCACTCAGTATCATTAAAATGATGCTCGGTCATCAAAGATGCCCTTGAAAATCTCTAAAATTTCCGAATAAAAAAAAAACAGTATTTGAAAAGTAAAAGATACTAGATGAATACATACTTTGATTCTTACAGAAATTAGCAGGAGCAGTCTGTGTCACATAGGGCAAATGTTCAAATAAGTAAAAAAATTGTTCCATTCAAGAAATGGGCCCTAAGTTTCAAGGTGTTTAAAGTCACTGAAGCGGATGCGAACCTGCCTTGAAAGTTGTCTTTCCAGCAGACGTGAATTTTTTCTAACTCCTTCAGAACATCAAACGGCCGATTCAATTATTTTGTTTTAGTCGACAAGAAAAGCATATTAACTCTAGGGGAAGTTCTAATTTTTTCCTCTGACATGATTTAGTCAGTCGTCATGTTGAACACCATCAAAAGCTTCTGCAGCGAACCTTTTGATAAATATTCATTGACATCTTACCGCTTCTTCAGCGTGACTCGATGTTGACTATCTTAGACTAAAAAAGTCGTTTCTTCGGGACAGCCTTTTCCTCGTGAGGATCGATAAAAAATACATCCGAACCAGGCATCAAAAGAAGTGATCCAAGACGCTGAGAGTCTTGTCAAGTTCGAATCATTGGCTCTGGCACGTGAAAAATCAAAGGAATCTTTGTAAATGATGCCAGTGTGAACGTCTTGCTGGACATATCGGCCTTACACTGAAACTAGATCCAGGAAATGGAACACCAAGCGAGAAAAAAAATTACTTGTTGACTGATGGGTTAGAAAACACAGACTATCGACGTGTTTTTTCAGCCTTTCGGTTGTTTCGATGGACAAAGAATGGAGAGATCAAAGAAAAAAATTGCGCGGCCTCGAACGGAGCAATGCACGAGAATAGCGCCAGTTGTCGACTTTTACAGTTCGGTTAAATTAAGGCGATAATTAATTAGCTGCATTTTACGTGGCTGTAGTGAACCTTATGATCCATCCCATTGACTACAGATATTTATGGACGGAAAAATTGTATTCCCATTAGAAAAT